AAAAAAAAAAAAAAAAAAAGATGATTGAAATTGATTTTTAGGTTTTGAGTGTATTAGGAATTAATGATACAAATGTCTGGGGGAATTAAAAGCTCGTTGGATGAAGCCAAGTGTGGCTATCCATTTGGAGGAGTCAGCCAGGTGTGAGGGCTGTTAAGACATTCACAGATGCGTGCTGATTTCGTCAGCCAGCTCTGACGAATCTAACACCTGCGGCTTGTGGAATATTTTTTCGAAACTGCATTATCTTTTGCCAAAACGGTGCAGACATGATGGGGAAAGAGAACAAATAAGACAAAGGAATAGACATACACAGAGATACAGAAACAATCACTCTCAGACCAGAACTCTTGGACCAGAACTTTAATACTGCACCTCTTTCACATTCACATTGAAAAGATAATGCAGCACTCCAATGAAGAACATATCCATTGCCTATGCAGTGCCCTACACTTGAACTACTTTCCACTGCATGCATAACAGTATATCTCTAATGACTGCTTACTGTATAAGCATGTGCGTCATTAAAAATAGCTTCTTAGCGCTGTTTAATACCAGGCTTCAAGCAACCAAAAATAATGGTAATACTGTAACTGATGATCATCTCAAATTTAGACTGATCCTTGGTTTTGTTTGTTTGTTTTTTGCAGGTCCCCTTTCTATGAACTAACATGGACAAAGTGGTCATCAGTCTCCTGCTTCTGGGAACCGCAGTTACGATGGTCCATGCATGTCCCAAATACTGTGTCTGCCAGAACCTCTCAGAGTCTCTGGGCACTCTGTGCCCCTCCAAAGGCCTGCTCTTTGTACCACCAGACATCGACCGGCGAACTGTGGAGCTCCGGCTGGGCGGCAATTTCATCCTCAAGATCACCACTCAGGACTTTGCCAATATGACAGGTCTGGTAGATCTCACCTTGTCCCGCAACACTATCAGCGCCATTCAGCCTTTCTCTTTCATCGACCTGGAGACCCTGAGATCACTGCACCTGGACAGTAACCGGTTGACTGAGCTGGGACCGGATGACCTTCGAGGTCTAGTCAACCTGCAGCACTTAATCCTCAACAACAATCAACTGAGTCGGATCTCCAAAGAAACCTTTGATGACTTGTTACTGACGCTGGAGGATCTGGATTTGTCATATAACAACTTACGCAGTGTGCCTTGGGAAGCCATCCGCAAGATGGTTAACCTTCATCAGATGAGTCTGGATCACAACCTCATCTCCTTTATTTCTGAGGGGACTTTCACGGATCTGGATAAACTGGCCCGCTTGGACCTCACCTCGAACCGTCTCCAGAAGCTCCCTCCGGACCCCATCTTTGCTCGCTCCCAGAGCAATGTAGTAATGAGCACTCCTTATGCACCTCCACTCTCCCTAAGCTTTGGTGGAAACCCATTGCACTGCAACTGTGAAGTGCTTTGGCTTCGAAGGCTAGAGCGTGAGGATGATATGGAAACCTGTGCTTCTCCCACTAGTCTAAAGGGGCGCTACTTTTGGTCTGTTCGTGAGGAGGAGTTTGTTTGTGAGCCACCTCTAATTACACAACATACACACAAGTTACTAGTGCTGGAAGGCCAAACCGCAAGCCTGCGCTGCAAAGCTGTTGGTGATCCGATGCCAACTGTACATTGGGTTGCTCCTGATGACCGTTTGATCAGCAACTCCTCCCGAGCAACGGTATACGAAAATGGCACCTTGGACATTACAATCACCACATCTAAGGATTACGGGACCTTTACTTGCATAGCTGCCAATGCTGCTGGAGAATCTACGGCCTCCATTGAGTTGTCAATCATTCAACTCCCCCATCTGAGTAATGGCACAAACCGTACCACACAGTCCAAATCGGGGCTTTCGGACATAACTAGCTCTACCAAGATCAGTAAAGGGGAGTCTAAACCTCTTCCAGAGAAGGTGGTTTCTGTATCAGAAGTGACTGCTGTCTCTGCTCTGGTCAAGTGGACTGTTAGCAAATCAACTCCAAAGGTCAAAATGTATCAGCTTCAGTACAATTGTTCTGAAGATGAGGTCCTCATTTACAGGTAAGAATGATTAATGAAACTCAATTTCATTCTAGTAGGAGCGAGACCTTTGTGGTCAAAGTGGTAAATTAAGCCTGAGGTATAATCTTTAACTTCAGAATAGTCACTGCTAAGTGCCTTGAGTCGATTGCTAATTGTTTGCTGGGTGAGTACTTGAAAAAGTCAATTTCTTTAAGTGTTACTCGGAGATCAACATGAATTTTTCTTAATCCTTCTTGAGATTTTTCTTTTTTCCTTAAATTGACAATTGCTTACACCAAAAGAATTAATAGTGAGTGCACATTTTTAAGAAAAACGAAACTCAAAGTGAAATCCTTGCCCTGAACCATTAATTAGAAATCCAAGAAGAGAAAGGATTATAGACCCTCATTTTAATGTATCCTTCTTAAGCTGCTCAAGTCCATAAAGTGTAAGCTTGGAGACTGCAGTTGGAGATCTTTGGGCTCTGTGAAATCAATTTCCTATGTCAAATGCAACAGTGAAAGTAGTTACATTCACCCAAGATAACTGAGCTGGAAATATATAAAAGAGCCTCGTCATTTAACATTAAATCAGTTTGGGGAAGACATGGACAAACACCTAATATACTGGGCTGTGTTGTAAGATCAAACATAGAGATCCATTTTTATGAGTTCTGTATGAGAATCTATAGGATATATTTTATCTGACAGCTTATTTTCCAGCATTTGCCATAAACATATCACACTCTTTTCAAGTTCTGCATCCCCTTAGGCTCCAATGACTCAATAGACTTTAACATAACCACGCTAACAAAGAATGACTACCCTTATGCTAAAGATAATATTTACTGCATCAGAATAGTGTAACAATTGGTAAGTGGCCTGTTGTGGATAGCAGATACAGCAGTTATGTGTCAGCTTCCTCTAAGACTGACAGTTAATGGTGAATCCCTTTAGCAACACCTCATTCAATAATTTATTCTGTTCCATAGTCCTACAGGCTTTACCTGTACTGTGCAGCAAGAGCCGTTTAATGAAAGATAATCGAAAGAATATGGGAAGGAAAAAAGTATTATTAACGGGGAATATGAGATTAGAACTGTACACAGTATTGAAGAAAGATATTACTTTGTTCAAACACTGTGAATGCAACTCACCATCCCTGCGAATTCAATAATAAGGTGTTTATCTGATTTCCTTGCTTGCACACTCTGTGCCCGAGAAAAAAGAACAATATGAATTTTCAATACCTTGTTTTTACATTGATGGAAACAATGGGTGACTCATTCGCATTTCTTGAAAATTCCTTTATGAATTTTCTCTAATGTCTATAAAATTGCAAACATAAAACTGAAGCATGCTTTTTAATCTGCATTTCTCCCTCATTCACTGATTTGCAACAGCAAAATAATTTCCCTGAAAAGCTATTATTTTAATGGCATTCCTGAATTGCATCAAATCACTACAACATATACATTTGATTGTGTTGATAGTTTGAGACATTAATAACATACACACTTTTGGTTAATAGCTTTTTGATCCTTAGTATAGCGATTTATGATTGTTATATTTTTCAGTTTGACCTAACTCTCCTGTTCATGAGGGCTAACCTTCAAATTCCCATTTATGTGGTTTGATCCTTTAAATTGTTGTTATTCATTATAAGTGGACACAGTATGTTTATATACAGAAGGAAAATGACCTAAAGCAATATATTTATGTGCTCTTATGTAATAACGGCTGTGCAGTCCTTTTGCATGTCAGAAGACAAATTAGGAGCTGCAAGGAAAAGATAACGAGCACAGAGAGGCCAACTACTCCTTTTGAATTAATATTGATATGACTTCATTGCTTGCACATGCACACCTACTGTGCTCCTCTACTTGGCTGACACAGTTTCCCAGGGCACTGCCCGCACTCAAGCAATGGCGTGATTAAAAATCAATCAGAGCCATGTGGGGGAGGAGAAAAATTGCATGGCTTCTCTCAAACATGTGAGCCAACACAGCTTCTTCCTAGTTATGGAAAAAGGCAATTAAGGATGAATAATGGACTGCAGCCCCACTGGTGTCTGGGGTGGAGGCGCTTCAGAGGGATCAAAGCTATGGATGCATAAACTCTAGGAAAACAGCAAGCCAACAATGGATGGATGGATGAGCAGCCTATTTATAGATAACTATACAAATATGAATATGAGTCTTCAAGGGCCATTTTCTACCCATATGGTATACAGTATGTAACAGCTGTCATTGATACTCCATGTTTATACTTTAATTGGTATAAATAGCAGTGGTTCCCAACCTTTTTTGTCAGATGTACCCATATCAGAAGAGTCAAGTACCCTCTTCCTTCACTGATACCACCTGTCATGTCCTAAATGTTTGGTTGGAATGGAATTTATGTTTAAACTATTAATTATATAAAAGTGGATATTGATACAATTACTTTATTAATCATACAAGGCATGGTGATCTTAGCCTTGTTGATGCTTAGACTGGGTTTTCAATAGGGATACTACCATTTGCTGTGAGGTACACTGCCCATGTCAACCACTTAATCATTACCTTTAACTTTCTATTTAAAATTCTCACCTGTATATTTTAGAAGTACCCCTGCAGAACCAGTATCTCTTGCTGGGAATTACTGATATACAGTATTTGGATTACTGTTCAGTGCAGATCTTATAAAATGTTAACATCTCCAATTAAAGGTTAACTGATGCTTAGACAGAATAGAATGTTGATACTAGATGATTCTGCAAACCCCCAGAATATGTTCAATATCAACATTTTAGAAATTCTCGCTGTCTGCAATATCTGGGTTTAGGGATAAGATCACTATGTGGGTATGTTTAGCATTTGGCAATTAAAGCTCTTGGTTAAAGCTGGATTTAAAGTCAGTGCAAGGGAAATCCCCCGGATAAAGTGCCTAGCCCTAATACAGCATAAACTAAGGTGGTTGCAGTACTGACCGAATCCAGCCCTAAACTATAAAGCTTTATCAAGAGGAACGTCTTAAGCTACTCTTAAATGTGAGAGGTGTCTGCTCCGAACCACAACTGGAAGGGCTGTTCCAGCAGAGAGGAGCTTCGGTAACTGAAGGCTCTCGGTCCTGTTCTTACTTTTAGAGACCTATAGGAACCACAAGTAGGCCCTGCTTCAGGATGTAGTGTTCTAGAGGAGTAATAGGGTCCTATGAGCTCTTCAAGATAAGAAGAATAAGAATATGAGACTATCTCCTTGAAATTGCTGTTTCCTTTCATTCATCAATACAGTGGTGATCACAGAAGGTCTGCAATTTAGTAGTACTGATAAAGAGAAGATACCTGAAAGTCTTCAACTTCCTTGAAGTTGCTTTTACAGTATCCAACAGTCTCTATCAGCATCAGAAAACTTCCCAAAGAGTTGACAGACACAGAGGCACATGTCAGCTATGGTGTAGCCTGTGTCATAGGCACAGAGCTATGGAGCTATGAAAGCAACCACCATAGGTGTGCCACAACACAGAAGTATAAATCCAACTTAATGTTAGGGAAAAATCATGGTTCCTCTTAATACAAAGGCAAATGTGAGTTGTAGGTCTGTGACAGGACACTCTGGCTAGCATAAAAGTGGGACATGCTACACATGCATCCACCACCCCAACCTCTACACCAGGGATACTCAAGTTACTTTGCCTTGGGGTCTGAAGAATGAAAAATGACAGGAAGCTGCATATAGAGCACAGTATTCCTGCATTGGCACTGAACATTTGCAATGGACAAAAATCATAAGGCTTGACTTTGTCCAATATGTACATAATTATTGGGGTAATGGGCTGTGTATACAGTATATGGCCAAATGGTCCATTTAAGTTTGACATCTCAGTGATGTCCCATTCTGATTTAATGAGATGCGGTTGGTAGAGTTTTCAAAGTAGAGACTTTGACATGCAGGAGGAACAGCTGGGGATTTAACTAGCAACCTTCTGATTAGTGGACGACCCCGTTCTACATCCTGAGCCACAGCACTTCTTTGTTTTTATTTGCAATTTTTTGCTGTGCTTGACTAGTCAAACTACATTTATACATGTGACAGCTCTAGTGTTTCTCTGCAGTCTATATGGATAGATAAGTTTGATGGATAAAAATCACTGGCTGTCTACACAGCACTTATGCTCCTACAGCATTCCATTGATTGGTGATGCATCTTAGAGAATTAACCTACTGCACAATGGACTTTTAATTTCAGTTAAAACCAGCTTAGTTAATCAGTCATATTAAAACATCTCGAATAAAAACAGAGTGAGTTGAAACTTAACTTAATGCATGTTAAATGGAACGTACAAGAAATTACATTTAGCCAAAACAATATTCAAAAAGTTGCCATTAAATACTTATCTCATTACTATTGCTTCATGCATATCAATGGGATATACTGGGACCAATGAAGTCATCTTTCTGAATTACTTTGTGCATATAAATAGCCAATTAGTCTGTTATGCTGGGGCAGATCATCAAAGAAAGAGGCAAAATGAAGCATGCTAAGCCAGTGTTGCTTTTCACACTAAAGTTCTCTAGCCTTGTCTTGAACTCCCATTGCAAGAGGCCCATATTTTTAATATAGTGTCTTTCTGTCTCTCCGTCTTTTTTCAGGATGATTCCCATGATTAACAGAGCCTTCATGGTCACAAATCTTGTCCCAGGGATGCAGTATGACCTGTGTGTCTTGGCCATCTGGGATGACACTGCCACCACCCTCACTGCCACCAACATTGTCGGCTGTGTCCAGTTCATCACCAAGGAGGACTACCCACAGTGTCAGTCTCTTCACAGTGGCTTCCTGGGTGGCACCATGATCCTAGTCATTGGTGGCATCATTGTGGCCACGCTCCTGGTGTTCATCATCATCCTCATGGTGCGGTATAAGGTGACCAGTGGCATCCAGACTAATAAATTACCCAATGTGAGCAACACGTACTCACAGACCAATGGGGGGTTGAACAGGTTCAATGGTGCCCCACCACAAGTCAAATCCACAGTGGTGGTTATGCGTGAGGAAATGGTAGAGTTCAAGTGTGGATCCCTCCAGAGCAGTCTCTCTTCATCCTCATCTTCTTCTAACTCATTAGACAGTCAAACAGGAAGAGGGGCTGGCGACCGCTACAGCATGCAGGGAAGCGAATGCAGTACCCTGCCCAGCAGCAAGTTCAGGAGACACGGTGCCAAAGCACGACCAAATCTGGACCACCTTTTAGGGGCCTTCACCTCACTGGAGCTGCGAGGGGTAGCGAGGGACAACCAAGGGGCTTCTGGCTCCTCCACCGCTTCCAATGCTGTGACGGCAGTGGCTATGGTACCCCCATCCGATAAAGAACCACTGCTTGGGAGGGCCGAGTCCACTACCATGCTGGGACGTCTCCTAGGGCTTCCCCAGGAGGGTAAGCCCAAGAGGAGCCACTCGTTTGACATGGGTCATGTGGGTGCCACACAGTGTCGCAGCAACTACCCTCGAAGGATTAGTAACATCTGGACTAAGCGCAGTCTGTCTGTGAATGGCATGCTGCTGCAGTACGATGACAGTGAGGATGAGAAGCCCACTTTTGAGAGCTCTGAGTGGGTGATGGAGAGCACGGTCTGAGTGCAGTTGTTCTAACTGTGAGGTTCATGGCCAAACAAGAAATCTATATCAGGAACTAAAGGAACATGCGTGTAGAGGAAGGGATGCTCGAGCGGGAATCTGCCTTTGGGTATTGCATGAAGTTCATCCATGTGAATACTGTCTAAGTAATTATGTGAGAAAAAGACACTCAAATCAATAGATTCCTGGCCATGATCTCAAATCTGACAGTCTCTAACTGTATTTGAAATAT